ATTAAAGTTATATATCATTGCATTCTTTGTGGGCAAACCGGCAAAATCATCAAGGGGTCAAAAACTTATTTCCCCCACTGTATCAGCTGGGCTCTAACAGACAAAAACCTCTCTCTTGGTCTCAGTGGGCAAAGAGCCCTGAGGTCAGGGTGATGGGCATTATCTCCTGGGCTCCATCCGCCTCCTCAAAGGAGGACTGGACACAACCAAGTCCTATTGGCCAGTTACCTCTGGGCAGGAACAGGCCAGGTCCTAATTCATGCAGATGACAGGAATGTGGTAACAAATGGTGTGTGTTTGTGTTGACCTAAAGACATGGATCTAATACAACAGAGAAAAAAAAAGAGAGAAAAGAGAGTCTGTGGACACAGCCAGAGACTTTAACTCAAAATATAGTTCTTTACTAACCCTATTACCCTGAAATGAACCGGCCAGGTCCTAATTAATGCAGATAACCTTGGAATGTGGTAACAAAGTTTGTGTGTGTGTGTGTTGACCTAATGCCGTGTGTCTAAAGTAACAAAGAGAGAGAGAATCTGTGGTAAGACAATCTATAATAAGTATAGATCATGTTATAGCATACTATGCTAACGTGAGTAGTTATAACCAAATTCTAACAACGTTGTATTGTATCTGTAGAAACAAAAGGATCTTTTAGAGACCAGGACTCGGGTGTTTTCCAGTCTTGTTTGGCACGTGCTGTAAACGCTGCCGGTGGGTAACCGGTCTGGGCTCAGAGAGGCAGAACCAGCACCTGGACTGGCGCGAACACAAGCCGAGCTGCTGTGCCGCCGGCCAAACGTAGTTTAGCGCTCTGCTGCTGAAATCAGCTGCAACCGGGAGCCGATTAGAGGAAGCAAATGCCAAACTTTGATTAGTGTGACCACAGGCCGGTTTTCCTCTTTTTTTACTTTGTGTGTATTTCCTGTTTTAGTCCTTTACGGTTTAATGCTAACAAGCTATTTTTGTGCCACTCCGTTCAGCTGTCAGGTGTTTCCAGTCAGTGAGACAATCAGTTTTATGGGAAATATTGAGCAAATGGACTCTGCTGAGGTGATTAATTCTGATTATAGCTCATCACCGCAGTGTTTGGAAGCAAGGGAAATAAGATTTCTTGGCTTATTGCTCAGAACGTGGAGCTCTCGGTCTAATTTAAGCGAGATGCGGTGATTTTGTTGCTTCTGTTCACCCGATTCTTTAGTTGGAAACCTGAGAATAAACCAGAGTTGACCAAAAGTATAAAAAAATGACATTTATTGGGTCACAGTTAAGTGTATCAGCTGGGCTCTACCAGACAAAAACCTCTCTCTGGGTCTCAGTGGGCAAAGAGCCCTGAGATCTGGGTGATGGGCATTATCTCCTGGGCTCCATCCGCCTCCTCAAAGGAGGACTGGACACAACCAAGTCCTATTGGCCAGTTACCTCTGGGCAGGAACAGGCCAGGTCCTAATTCATGCAGATGACAGGAATGTGGTAACAAATGGTGTGTGTGTGTGTGTTGACCTAAAGGTGGATCTAATGCAACAGAGAAAGAAAAAGAGAGAAAAGAAGAGCCAGAGACTTCAACACAAAATATAGTTTTAAAACCAAATAAAACAATCAGTAATTTACATAGATCATGCTATAGCATACTATGCTAAAGGGAGTAATTATTACAAAATTCTAACAGTATGTTTGCAGGGGAAATTGCTGTTAAAGTTTAGTTTAGTTTAGTTTAGTTTTATTAGGATCCCCATTAGCTGCCAAATAAATGGCCACTAGTCTTCCTGGGGTCCTCACATGAAGAAATTATATTACATTATAAACAGATCATACAAAAAAAAAAAAAAATCACAGTAGGAAATAATAAAAACATAAACTATACAACATATACACACAGGTCAGTTCATGTTATCATTTGCAGTAGTTCTGAAGACACAATATTTTTGAAGCTTGTTCCGTTCTGAACTGTTCGTGTGGTTAAAGTGAGTAATTATAGCCTAATTCTAACACCTCCATTAACACCCCCCCTGCAGGATGTGAGGAGTACCACTTCCTCCACGAGGGTCTCTGTGTCCAGACCTGCCCGGACAGCTTCTACGAGGACGTGGAGCGGGGGGAGTGTCTGTTTTGCCACCCGGACTGCGCTCTGTGCGACGGGCCGGGGGCCCGGGACTGCGACGCCTGCATGGACCCGGGCGCTGCCTTGCTCAACGGCGCCTGCCTGCCCCGCTGCCCCCCCGCAGCCTACAGGGACGCCCCCACCGGGGAGTGCAGAGGTACGCCCCTAATCACAGGGAAACTTTACTCATGGGATCTCATTAGAGATAAAATGGGAGGAGCCTCTTGCTGCAGCCTCGGTTGGAGATCCAACTCCTCCCACATCCAAGTCGGCCATTTTGATTAGGTCATGTGACTAGCAGCTTTCTGAGGTGGAACTGAAACTTTACTGTCTATAAGAAATCGGAAGATAAACAATGTCTTAACCCTAACCCTGACCCTAGCCCTAAACCTAACCCTGACCCTGACCCTAACCCTAACCCTGACCCTGACCCTGACCCTAAACTTAACCCTAACCCTGTCCCTAAAACTAACACTAACCCTAACCCTGACCTTAACCCTAAACCTAACCCTGACCCTGACCCTAAAACTAAACCTGACTCTAACCCTAACCCTCCATCCTTCATAATTGTGAGAAATAAATATTTTTTGGTTAAACTTGTTTGGACTTATTGTACAAACCTATTTAACATACAATATTTTAACATAATATTATGTATAGAGTTTAATTCAGTGTTTGCAAGATTCATTTCACTATTTTTAAATGAATGCCTATATTGCCATGAAGCAATTAGGATTCTCTTGCCTGGGATCTTCCTATCGGTGACCTAATCAAAATGGCCGACTTGGATGTGGGCGGAGTCGGATATCCATCCTTGGCTTCCTGCAGTCTGCAGCTTGATGTTCTTGATAAAATGCACTCATCAAAAGAGAAAAGAAGAAGCCGGATGCAAACGTAGGACAGACTCAGCGTGTTTTACGTCCCGCCGAGCGTCCTTCGCGTATTTTCTAAATCATGTTCCCTACTATGCCTGAGAGTATTTCTTGACTCGGGCTCAGCCTGAAATAGCAAAGCTCCTCAGACAGTTAACAGGCAGCTGTCAAACGGCGGCAGCTGCAACCGGGACGCCGGCGCCGGTTCCCTGGAGAGAGAGAGGGAGAGAAAAACACAGAGGACGGCGTGTTTCTCAGGAAGCGTTTTGAGAAATCCCAAAGCATCTTCCAACTGAGCGAGATTTCAAAGGCCCCGTTCCAAAACGAGGGGGGGATTCTGACACGGAAAATGCACAGACTCCATTTTCCCAAACCCAGAAGAGAAACCCAGAGAAAAAACTCTTTGACTTTGTCTGGTAGACATTTTTGTTTACAGGTGCTCCTACAGGTTCTCTCTCAGGTTAGAGGACATCTTTCTACAGATACAGCAGCTGAATGGATGGTTTTGTTGTCTTTCTTTTATTTTCCTTTCTCTTCCTGTTTTAGGGCTCTCTCTTCTTTTCGGCGTGGGTTATTGTTACCCTTTCTCTACTCTCTTATCCTTTTTTTTCTCTATTCCTGTCCCACCCGGTCGGGTTTGGCATTAACCATATTACTTCTGTTTATGTTTATGTTTATGCATTTGGCAGATGATCGAGTTGTGACATAGGCCTTTGCAAGAGGATTCAAGTAGATTTCTGTAACAAAAATAAATCTTAGATAAATAATAAATCAGTATTGGATGATCAGGGGAGGCTTCCCACCCTGACAGGCCTCATGTGGCAAAGCAAAAGTGTCGGGCAGAGCACGAAACTCAGATTACAACTCTGTTTATGAACACGACATGGGAAAAAAATCTCCCATCTACTTGAATCCTCTTGCAAAGGCTTATGTCACAACTCGATCTCTCCGGTCATCAGTGGACTGTGGTCTAGCAGAGCCTTCACCACGCTAACCCTAACCCTAACCCTAACCCTAACCCTAACCATCCAGACTGTTTAATGTGTCGTTCC